CTCTACACAGCCCCACAGTCTTAGAAACGACCCCAGCATCACAGAACCCATGCCGGCAGGGGCTGCCCCAAGCGGGGTTCAAGGGCCTGATTTCCACGCAGCCGCTTTGGCTCCAGGTGGGGCTGCAAGTGCTGTCCTCAGGGAGGTGGCCCCCCAAGGCTGGCGTCCAGCAGGGTCCTCAGGAGACGAGTGCCCCTGGGTCAAGGCGGGAAGGCAGCCTTCTTGGGCTCCTACTCACAGCTGGAGGGTGTGCTCCTGTGGGGGTCAGTCCCAGCTTCAGGGCAGGGTGCTAGAAGCTTCTCGGGCACACAGCAGGCTCACAGGGGGTCCCTACTGCCTTGAACCAAGCTGGCAGCCAGGCAGAAGGGGAAGTGGTGGGGCCTACCTGGGGCAGTGTGGGGTCCGGGCTCCCTGCTTCACCAATCCTTGAGTAAGCCTCAGAGCAGCCCCGTAGGATGGTGTCACTGTGCCCATGGGATGAACCAGTCCACTGAGGCTCAGAGAGGCAAAGCTACCTGTCTGAGGTCACACAGCTAACCTGGCCGACACTGGCAGCCCGAGTGACCTGGATGTCTTCTCCTAGGACCAGGAGCTGGAGAGCCTGTCGGCCATTGAGGCAGAGCTGGAGAAGGTGGCCCACCAGTTGCAGGTGTTACGGCGGGGCTGACACACCGGCTGGCAGGGCCAGCTCGGGCCCTGAGGCCGCTGTGGTCCTGCCTCTGCTGTCCCCTTTGCAGGTCCTGGCCAGACAGCCCGGATGCTGCCTCCACTAGGGAGCAGCTCCCCGCATGCCAAGCCCAGGCCGCCCCACTGCTCCACTGTCTTCTGCCCGCTCTCGACCCCTGCCTCCTCTGCAGGGTGGCGTCCCCTTGACTTTAAACACTGATATTCTCTCTGGACACAGGCAGCTTTCCACAAGTGTCCCTTCCACCATCAGATCACGGAGCACAACCGCAGTAACACGACCTTCTGATGGAAGCAGAGAACTTTATATATAAAATCTGTCTAAGGAAAAAATAAACCTGCTCTGGCCTCTTCCTGGTCTCTGAGCTCTCCCCTTCCTGACTTGGAATGGTATGGAATGGGTTGGACTTGGCCAAAGGGACAGGGGACGGGTAAGCTCTGTCCCCCAGGGGTGACTCTTGCTGGGCCACTTCCAGGATCTCAGGCAAGTGACTTTGCACAGCTGCCTCAGTTTCCTCGTCTATAAAATGGGGACAGTGACACCTGTCTCACAGGGAAGTGGGGATTAAGCAACACATGCGAAGCCCTTGGCCCAGGGCCCCACTGCTCCTTCTTCTCTCGTCTCCCAGCCTAGCTGGGGCTGGGCCATGCAGTGGTAAGGCTGGCTTAGGAATACCTCTGCTTTCTGGTGTCAGGTGGAGGCCCTGACTGTGCCTTTCACCAAGGCCACAGCCACTGGACCAGTTTGGGGCTTGGGATGGGGACTTAGAGCTGCAGGCCCCTCTTGGCATGAATCTGCCATGACCCCTGACCTGACCTTTGGCATATGCTTAGGACTCAGGGTGTCTGAACTTCTTGTACATTGAATGGTTCACTACAGCATTGCAGGTCTTCGTCTGCTTTTTGAGGAGGGCAACTAATTCCTCAAAGTCACAGGCAGGGGCTCCTATGCTGCCAAGACTTAATGATGGGGACCACGCAGCATCACGCGATCAGATGGACCAGGCTGGTGGGCTGGACCACTGTGGCTGGCGGACCATCGGGGCCAATTTATGGGAGCACACAAGAGGTGGCTGGACAGGCCCTGGCCAAGCTCACTGCCTAGTGCAGAAAGCCAGATCTTCAACAGCCAAAGCAATCCACGGGGACAGATGTCCAATGCGAAGGCGCACAGGGCTCTACCCTGAGCCCACCCCACTGCAGTGTGGGCCTCTCTTCCGCCACTGTCACCACCACCACCGCTGCCGGCCACTTTCTCAAGCAGGCCAGGAGGAGGAAGCAGATGGAGCTCCAGCTTGGCTCTGCCCGACGGGGTGGTCACCTGGGGCATTCCCCTCCCAGGTGGCAGCCTTGGGGCTAAGATACTTGGTCTGTGCATCGCAGACAAGAGCAAGCAGGTGCAGGCTGTTCTCTGCAGCGGTGGGGGGTGGGGAGTTCAGGGAGCAGCCCCAGCCTCGGTGGGCAGCCGCAGCAGGCAGCACCTCTGACGCTTTTCCTGGGGGACAGGGCAGGGACCCGTGAGGTTCCCAGCACCAGTGTCAAAGCCATCCCTGCCCCCTTCAGGGACCGGCCATGTCCATGGCATGGCTCGAGGTGCAGACCCGTGTAGTGAACCTGAGCAGGCAAGGTTCCGTGATGAGGAGGTGGGTTTTGGAACAGGCTGGAGTCTGAGTCCCCAGCCCAGCCTTTAACTAGCTGGGGGGCTCAGGCACGCACCCCCGGGCCTGTTTCCCCACCGATATATGGGAACGATGCTTCTCTCTGAGGGGCACAGACAGCCCAGACCAGGTAGACGGTACAACGATGGCTGAGGGCTCTCCAATGAGGCTGGGGCGGGCTACCTACTGCGGGTGACGCCCTCCTCTGGAAGACAGAGGGACGCCCTTAGAGGGCTGCAAGTGTTCATTTCTTGGTATGTTTCACAGTTTTGCACTCCGCCCCCAAGTTACAGAAAGAACAAATACAGCAGTGACTATCCCACCACCTGATGAGAAATCAAAGTCTTTGCTGCCAAGATTAGTCAGCAGACAGAGCACGCGGGGACACCCTGTCCCTGAAATCACACATCCAAAGATGGGTGCTCTGCAGACACCCGCTCTAATCACGTAGGTGGACGTGCAGTGGACAAGCGTCCTCGGTTTGTACAGAAGCCAGGTTCTGTGTACCGTATCCACACACAGACACACACACACACGTATGTACACGGGTACTAGCCAGCTGGGGATTCTGGTAAAAGTTGCTCAAGAACTGAGTCAGAGCAAGTGGCAGTTGTCACCAAGCCCAGGTGTCAGCCCTCTGAACCACACCACTCACGAGACACGTGCAGGGTGAGTCCCAGGGGGCCTCAGTTCCACACAGAGCCCTCGCGGCAGCCCAGGCTGGGCTCAAAGAGGTCAGTGAGAAGGTTGAAAGGGGGTGGTCCCTCCAAGCTGCCAGGTCCCGAGAACTGCGGAAGTACAGGGAACAACCACCACCTCTGGAGAAGGGCCGGGGGATTGGGAGGGTCCCACCCACCACAACCAGAAGGAAGAGGGCCCCACAGGAACCCACTGCGGGCGGACTGTCCGTGGTCGGAGGCCCCAGCTCTCCTCCGACCATGGTGAGTGTTACTTCACGACCATGGTGGCACTGTGCAGAGGGCAGGCACACACCCCCTTGACCACACAGGGCAGCCTGCTTCCCGGGACTGATGGGAGAAGCCTCCTGTCTGGAAGTGGGGCAGAAGCACGTGGCATCAGAGGGCTGAGCCCAGAACCTCTATCCAGGGAAGACGAGGGAGCAGGCAGGGTCCCACTGGGTGAATGAGTAGTTTCTGGGAAGATGGAAGAGAGGGCAAGTTCATACCACAGGGACACCAGTGAAGGTGTTCAATGGTGCTTCACAGCCAGTCGCCACTTCGAATGAGTCAAGGGCCCGTTTTCCAGGTCAGAGGGGCGAAGGACATGGGCTTCCCTTGATCCTGGAGTGGCTGACCAATAAAGCCACTCAGCTGTTTCCCCCATTGACTTGAAGACCTCTGGCCCCTACCAGGGTCCTTTAACTTCCTGGGAGGCCCGCTCAGCAGTCCCTGGGGAAAGGAATCCATTGGAAGGCTTCCCCCCTCCTTCCTTGGCAGTGCTCATCACACAGGCCACTTAGAGATGTCACCTGGGACCCCCGGGGACTTCAGCTGGTCTGAGGCCTGCTGGTGATGCTGTGTGGCTTCGGGCCCAGCCTAAACCACCATGTGTACAAATCCCCAACACCCCCATGATGCCAATGGCAGAGACCTACGGCAGGACAGACTCCCATGGTTCTCACGGTGAGGACGGACGTCCAGGGCCTGGCACACATCTGGGGCTTAATGACTGTGGAGTCCCGTCATCACACAACCCCAGCATTCTCAACTCGATCCAAGGCTCCAGCAGTCATGTCTGGAGACTGCAAATGACCCTCTCTTCAGAGCCTCAGCAAGAATGAGGTCCTGCCTCTCGCTCTTGGGGTGCCCTCTGGCCACCCCATCCATTGACCAATACCAAAGACAAGTGTCACAGGGCCATAGAGCAGCCAGACGGCGGCCCCTTGTGTCAGCCAACTCGGGAATGAGTCCCAGCCAGCCTTACCCAGCCCGGCCAACTCTGGGGTGGCACCTACACATGACCACACATGCATCACTCGTGGTAAACCACAGGAGACCCTTCCCACGGCCTAGAAGTTTCCAGGGACCCTGGGGAAGAAAGGGCTGCAAGGCCAAGCTTGTTTCAGTGGGTCTCTCCATGTTACTAAAAACCCCAAGGCCAGGTGACGGGGCCCGAAGGGAAACCAACTCTGTGGGCGATGCGTTGGGACAAAAAGGTCAGTATGCACCCAGGTGACCTTTTGAGAACAGGCTTCTCTGCCCCCAGTCCTGGTGTCCACTCAAAGGGCCGCTGGGGTGCCATCACCATCTGCTTCCTCTCCCCATGAAGGGCCCTGACATGGTTTAAGAGCCTTTGAGAGAACCGTGGAGCACCTGCCAGCTGAGGGGAAGAGGCTGTGCCGGGAGCAGGGCTGCTCTGTCACCTGCCACGAGGCAGCTGCAGGCCTCTGGGAAGCTCAGGTCTCCTAAGGTCAGCACCCCCTTGGTTTCCAGCGTCGGAAACAGCAATCACCATGCGCTCCTGGCCCGCATGGTGGAGCACGCCAAGCCCGGGTAGCTGAGCCCCGGGAGCTAACGCGTGTGATGACCGGGAGATAATGTGAGGCTGGGACAAGCGGGTGTCGTCCAACCATGTCCCCGCCAGTTTCCTAGGCAGATAGGAATCGAAATTGTGTAAGGGGAGGGCTGTTCATAAACGCAGGGAGGGGGCCAGCAGGCGGGGCGCCGCTGCGAGCAAGTGCAGACCAAGCTGATTTCAGTAGTTTATTCTGGAGACAAAGCAGTGCAAGAGGTCGCGCATCCGCTTCCGGGGCTCGGCGGAGGTGCCGGGCGCGGACCCTTCGCGGGTTCAACCCTCGAGTCCTGTCGACTCGGTCAGTAGGCCAGTTCGGACGCTTCGCCCCCTGCCTCAAAGACGGGCGCCCCCCCCCACCCCCAGCCAGGCCTGAAGGTGTCTCCATGAGTCCCGCTCAGCAGCCTCTGGGGCCACCCTCCCTGATGACACACAGGACAGCCCAAGGGCCACTGTTCCTTTTTCAAAGTGAACTGGTACCTCAGACACAAAAACCACACTTGGGGGGCAGGGTCACAAGCATCTCGCCCAGGCCCACGCCCCGGTTCCCCATTCAGCCTTTCTCTGTGGAGGGCGGAGCTGGCTGCCAGGGTCTGAATGGCGAGCCGGGGTCTGCTGCTGTCGGGGCGGGTGGAGTCTACGGGTAGTTTTCTTCTCTCGGGGCTCCAGCTCCCTCGCCCTTGGCTCCGGGCTGGGCCTGCAAAACCACTGGCAATGAGCAGGGGAGAGGGGCAGGGCGGCTGGGAGGAGGGCCACCGAGGTGGGAGGCCGCGGGGCTTGGAGCCACCCCAGG